ATATATTTTACAATTACTTAAAAAATATTTTGGAGTAATCAACATGGGGTACAGCTAATAATAGAAAGCTTTGTAAAGATGAATTTTAAGTCAGGTGTTCGATGGAGCTCTAGATTGGAAGAGTAGAGAAGGTGGCAGGTCACTTGGCCCATTTGGGGAATGAAAGAGGCTTTGTAAATAAATGTTCAGTGAGTTGGGGAAAAATGTGAGTTGGTATGGAACCTAGGAGACCACCCAGTTATCCATTTAAATATTGTTTAATTGTTAAAAGGCACTCTCATGCAGACCATGTCATTCTATCTTATAGCCTCAAGAGGTAAGAAAGGTGTTAATCCCATTTTATAGAAGAGGAAATAGAAACTCAGTAGGTTATCTAATATCAAGTCCTGAACTCTTTCCTCTGTAGTGTGCTGTTCCATTTCTGTAATTGTGTGTACAGAGGTGAGTAGTGGTGGTTGGGTACTATATGAAGAAAGAGGAAGACCAAGTTGCATCCTTGAGCAAAAAGGGAAGGGATGGCATGCCTTGATGTGGGGACCACACAGTATAGTAAGCTTCCTCAAACAAAGACTTGAGTCAGCCAGACGCCAGTACCTCCATGCATGGTCTCCCAATCAGTGTTGGCTTGTACACCAGCCTGAAGGACACAGATGGGCCACCTGTCTGTGTGGGATTTTCCCTTACTTGTTTGGCTGTGCACACTTCTCTGGAGAGGTCTTCGGAGTAGAGGCTTCTCATACAGGATTTCTGGGATGTGTCTTCCTATGAGCCAGCTCAGTGGAATTCATGGGGGCAAGAGCAGGAGGAGGAGATGACATGAACAAGGACATGGAGGTGGGGTGAGGCACCCTGGGGGAAGCAGGAAGGCATGGAGATGCAGTTGGAGACATAGCAAGGGCCAGGTCATGGGAAGTTGTATGTCCTATGAGGGGTAGAGCCTTACCAGAGTTGCAGTGTGTGTGGTGTTCAGGAGACACAAGAGACCCAGCAGGGGAAGAAGTAGAAATGGAAGAGAGGGGTTTAGGAAAAGTTTAGATAAGATTTCTAGGGCTTCATGACCGATGGACTCATGGTCATTTTGAATACTCAATATGTGCCAGACCCTGGGCTAAAAGCTCTTGATATACATCTTAATGAATCCTAATATTGCTACAAGGTATAAAATATCATCCTCATTAACACATAAAGAAACTGAAGTTTACAGTGTTTTAGTAAACTCAGATTGGTGGTGCACAGCCTGTAAACAACAGAGTAGGATTCAATTTCTGGTGTTTTACTCAAAAGCCTCCCCCCAGGTGCAGTTTGGGAGAAGAAGGGGTCTAGGATCAGTCTCATATTTCTTGTACAACTGAGGAAGCTGAGATAGACAACAAGGAGGAGAAGCAAGTTATGGAAAGGGATTCAGTTTTGTATTCTCATTTGTGCTGTCAGAAAGAGCAAGTTAGGGGAGCTATGAATGAGGAACACCAGTATGTCTCTGTACCTCCTACTGAACTACACATTGGCCTTGGAGCACTCAAGTTTCTGTGGTCTGACTCCCTGATCTCCTGAGAGGAAGCCCAAGACCTGGCTCATATCCTTCAGGGAGACCAGGCTGAGGGGCCTGTGGAAGTCAAGGGCTGTGGCTGGCAGGCACTTTGCTTCTGATGAAGGGGCAGGTGTCGATGAAATGAGGAGTTAGGAGCCCAGCCCTTTGCCAACATGACAAACAGTAGCAGGAATCTGACCTGCTGGACTCACGTGGCCTACACCACCTCAGTCCAAGATATGCTGTCTAATCCAACCTACTGACAAGTTTGAGGCTTCAGGGCCAGCAAGCAAAAATGTCCACATGTGCACTGACTCTAAAAGGGCCTGAGGTTATTGGGGAGGGGGTGGTGTGATTGTGTCATTGCAATTGTTGTGAGGTTGATGATGGGGACTGTGGGGGGTCTACACAAATGCCTTTGATTCTCTGTGCATCATTCTGGTGGGAGGCTCTTGCATGTGCGTGGGCTCTTGTGCATGGGATGAGGCAGTGGCAGACGCTCTGTTCTCTAAGGGTTGGGAATAAGGAGCCCTTTGTTCCTCAGAAACATGAGACTAATTTTCTTCTCACCTTCTGCAGGAGCAGGGCTTATGGACATCAAAGAAAGCCCAAGAACTTAGAGACTTCTTGCTAGGAGGCTGGAACTAAGTGTCCCTATGACACCAGAAAGGAGGAAACCAGACTGTAATGTCTCTTTCCTCCCACCCATCCAACCCCCTCAGCACAGAGGCTTCTCAAACTCAGGGGACATTCCATCCTCCCAGACTGGTATTTATCCAGAAACCTTTCCAGCCTCTTCTCACCTTTGGGCTGCCCTCAGCCTCAGGAGAGAAGAAACCCTGCCTGCTGCCCTGCTCATCTTCCAGCTCCTTTCCTTCCTCCAGAGCAATCAGAGAATCATAGCTCAGCCTGTTCCTTCTACTGCCTCTGTATCTTTTTACCAGAAGGGTTGTCCAGGCCCAGGGATAATCATGGAGAGTTGCTCACCAAGGGACCAGTTGGATCTCTTATTCTGTAAGTGTTATAGCTCATGAACTGGGTGAGGCTGGGACTGTAGGTGGACCTAGGGAAGGGGGAAATGGCTGAAGGTGACTGATTAGCTGGATGATGGTGGTTAAGTGTGTCCCCTCTCTGGGGCATGAGGTCTATGGCTAGATGACCTCTGAGGTACAGTCCTGCTCTTCAGGTATAAGGGAAGGCACACAGGGAAGGTTGGGAGAATGCTGGAGGCTTAGGGAAGAGGCGGACAGCTACTCTAGGCCCACCTCTGCCTCCAACCACCTTAACTCTACCAGCAGGAAGAATGACACCAGCTATGGCCTGGCTCCTGTTCCTGCAGCTTGTTCTAGAGCCAACTTTGGTCGTGGACATCCGTCTGCAGTTTGCCATCAAGGAATTCTACGACTTACACATTGACTATCCCAGGCTTAACTACCCACCAGGTTTTCAGGGCTACTGTAATGGTCTGATGGCCTATGTTCGGGGCAAAAAGAAAAGCTTGTATTGCCCAAAGAACCATTATGTGATACATGTCCCGGGGACAGAAATTCAGAAGTTGTGCAAGTACTGTGAGAACTTCTGTGAGAATTACAATGAATACTGTACACTCACCCAGGACTCCTTCCCCCTCACAATCTGCTCTTTGGTTACCAAGCAGCCACCCACCAGCTGCCGCTACAATGGCACCCTGACCAACCAAAGGCTCTACCTGCTCTGTTCCCGGAAGTATGATGCTGAACCAATAGGTATCATTGGCCTCTACTAGGGAAAGGAGGTTTTCATTGAGAACCACTCCCTACTGCCTATCACAGAGCAGCCTGTCCTCATTTCCAAAACTCTGATCCCTGGTACAAGGTTTCCTCCCTGGTTTTGAAGGTAAGCAGGATTCCCTCCCAAGATACCAGTAAAGTAGGAAAAAATGTCACATGTCAAAGTCATAACTGTCTTCTAGGCTCTTTCTAACTTGTTTACCTTCCCCCTCCCCCATCATCTTCCGTCTCCCACAGACAGTTCTTCCCACCCAAGAAGCTGACTGTATCCAGTTGGCAGTGACTGTCCATCCACTGGGCCAGATACTGAATCCTGGATGGAGGCCCAGAGCCTCAGCTCACACCATGGCAACAGGCACCCAGTTCAATATTTCAACTCCCCATCCCCGACACCTTTCTCTTTTCAGTCTTCCTCATTTCCCTATGATTCCCTCCACTCATTCGCCCACACTATAGGTATCTCTAGCAATAGGGACCTTCCTGAGACCTTTAGGTTCATTTTAGCCTCACTTCCCCTCAGTTCCCTGTCTGTTACTATCTGTGAAATCATGTTCTTCACATAACATGTTCTTTCCTCCCTCCTTTCATCATGGAGCAGTGTCTCTCCCTAACCTTCCCAGCCTCCGTTACTCACCGTCTTCTCCAACCTCTTTTCCACAATTCTCACCTTGGTTCACTGTAAAGTTTCACGTCACTTTCCCTGATCTATCTCCCTAGACATTCCTGCATCCTGTTCCTTCCCAAAGTTCCTCCTGATGATCCCCAAACTCTGGGATCTGCTGCTGATAAGATGGTTGAGGTGAGCCTGGCTGTAGTTGCAGAAGGTTTCAAGGCCACATCTGAATTATGTAAGATGTAACCATTGGACAAAATTGAAGAGTACATGGAACCTCTCAGTACTATTTTTGCATCTTCCTGTAAATCTATAATCATTTAAAAATAAAAGGATAAAAAAACCACATTGGACTCAGTTCTGATTTCATTCCTTTTTCCTTAGTGCACTAGAACTCCTACTGTCAAAGTTCTGGAGACCACTCACCATCTTCCTGGGCTACCCTTAGCTGTATGGGATCTTCTCTTCCACGTGAACCATGATGGAGGTGCAGTGGGGTAACATTCACTTCCAGCTGAGTGTTGAAAATGAATTCTCCCTTCCCCTAGCTCTAGAACAAACTTGTAATGAATCAGGCTAAGTTGATCCTTAACCCACCCCAGTTGGCTTTTATTTCTCCCCACAAAAAAACCTGGATTGCAATAGATGAGGAAGGTGGAGGGACAGGGGTCTGGTTGATGGTATCTGGGTCATTCTCCATCAAATTAGAAATTGCTACTCCCCTTTGGCAGGTGTGTCTACATGGGGTGAATACCAGTAGTGTGTGTGTGAATGCAAATAGCAAATACTTTTACCTTCACATCTGGTTCATTGCTTATCTCCAAATATATTCCTCAGCCCTGAGGAGAAGACTAACTTTTGATTTGGAGGTATCAGGATAAGTAGAGCAAAAGATGGAAAGCTGGAAATTCTGACATCTTGGACTTTCTCTTCTCTCCTCTCTCTCTACACCCATGAGCCCACCCATACCTTACCCTGGTTGAAGACAGAGCTCCTTAGCTGCTGCACACACAGATGTTTATTGTTCCCCAAACTCCATGGTGTTAAAGATGCAGGGTTGATGGCTGGCAGGCTAAGATGAGGCTATTCCTTATTTGCTAAACTTCTTATCATAGGTGCCAGCACCCTTGTAGGCACTCACATAGCCGGAGTTGTCGGTCATGTCTTCCCGTCCTGCGATGCCTTTGCCCTTGCCACTCTCATCAAATCGCTCCTTGTGGGTGCCAGTGTACTTGCTGGTGTCTGTCAGCCGGCTCACCCCGCCCACAGTTGTTGCTTTCTGCAATCCAGAGGATGATGGGTCTGATCCCTCTCCTTCCCCCTCCAGAGTTTTACCCCTTTTCTAAAGATGGCCTTTGATTCTTGCTCTACCTGTGGCATGGTGCTGTTTTCCCTGAACCCAGATGTGGCTGTGGGCAGTAACTGTGGCAAGAGCCATCCACCAGTGAGGGAAGAGGAGTCTAGTGTATGGGAGTGAGTGGACTGTGTGTGGATTTTTCTGCTTCCAGAGGAGTCATTTTGATGATGCTATGGCCAGGGGACTTCAATCCCAGATTTCATATGCAAATTTCTTCCTACTGGGTGGGTCCTATTTGAAACCTACCATAGTAGAAAGAACTTTTAGTAGAGAGGGGACAAATAGGGAACAGAGAGGGATAAGAGGAAGAAAGTCAGAGATCAGACCTTATATAAGAGCAGGAAGAAGACTAGGGATCATGTACCAAGTCCTCTGCACTGTGTCCACCAGGCTCTAGTTGCCTGGCTCAGATACTGGACACTTGAGAATGAGTCTAGATTTTGCTATGAAAATAGCTATGGACCTTGGGCAAGTCACTTCCTCTCTCTGGGCACAGATTTCCTTGCCTCTGAAATGGCCAGGTGGTCTCTGAAGTCTGTTTCAATACCAAGAGTGCCCCAGAGGAGTTCTGTAGTATCCCTACAGTACCTGTGTTGGCAGGCATTAGGGTCAGTGGAGGGTGGAAGAGGAGAAGAAGCAGTAGAATTTAGGGAAGTAGGGTCAAGTGTTAGGGATAAAGAATGTCACTCACAGTAACACCAGTGGTAGCTGGATCCTTGCCTTCTATGAGTTTGAAAACATTCTCCAGGGCTTCATCTGGGTTCTTACTTTTGAACCGCTTCTGGCCCAGTTCCTTCATTGCTTCCTGGAACTGCTGAAAAGTGATGGTTCGGGCATTCTTGGCCCTGGTTAGTCAGACAGAATTTCAGGAATTCTGAAACATGAATTCATTACCTACCAAGGGCCAACCCTCCCTTTACTCATACTTGGCCACTGAATGTCTTGAGGACAGAGAATAAATAGACAGTGCCAGGTACCCAGTAGGTACTCAGTAGACCCATTACAAGTGCTCTATCACATAAACCCTTCCACGTCTCACTATCTTGTTTGTTCTACTCACGACCCCTACTCTCATCTTTGGTTCCTTACTTGACTTTACTGAACACGATGTCCACATCAGTGGAGGTGACTGTCTTGCCATCCATGACACCACAGTCTTTGCACAGCTTGGAGAAATTCTTGTTGTTCATTTCAGTGCCGCTGCTTGATGATTCTCCGAAGACAGCAAACCGCTGGAATGTTTTTTCTGCTTCTGATGCCATGATCACCTGGAGGCTGGGGAGGATAGTAGAGGAGGAGGCTGAGGGGTGAGGGAGGAAAGGAAGGGAGGACTGAGGAGTAAAAAGGATGGGAGTTAAGATAAAATCTGAATCAGCAACAGCGGAAAGAAAAACTCTCCTCCCTGTTCCTCTCTCCCTTCTTTCCACCTACTGTTCCCAGCACTAGGGAAACTAGTGTGGATCCTACATTCTGAGAAATCACCACCCCCAACCATGTCCCCCCACTTTTGGTACCTGAGTGGCCAGATGGTGTCTGACCCTTCCCAGGCTTTGTATGTAAGTGTGTGTATATATGGCAGTGAGGAGACAGGCAGGGGAAGAGAGGGAAGCTTTTATGACCTCAGTAGATTTTATGACATCACCTCTAGCCCTAGCTATAATCCTAGTCTTTGGGGGAGGTGTCTTTTGGTTTCACTACCTTGCATGTTTCATTGAACAAATTGCCAACCTTCTGATCTCTCCAGGTGATCAAATTCCCCTCATCATCCCAACCCAACCTGACTTAGTCCTCTCAGTCCTGATCAAATTGCCTTATGGAAAAAAAAAATTACTCTGACCCTCAACAGAAGCTGAAGAGGGCCCGGGGAAAGGGTTAATAAAGACAAGTCACCATAAGTCTGACATTGCTCTTCTTTTTGGTTTCCAGGTCCAGGCCAGCTTGGAAGATCTCATTGGCTTTAGCAGACTAGCCTCAGTAGGAACTTTAAATGGTGTGTTGGGGCTCAACATGGAAATGGTCTTGGAGTGTAACAGATCTGGGTCGGCCAGGGTGAAATAGATCAGAGTGAGGGTGAATCTCTGACTCTGAAAAATTTTCAGGTAAGTTTCCTTGCAGTCAGGAATATTCTTCAGGGGTTCCTCTATGGCCTTTTCTTTATCTAGAAACCATATAGATGGATGAACTTCAGGAATCCTAACAAGAGCAACTAGGTTGGTGATTTCCTTCCCCTTCCTGTCTAATCAGTTACCAATTCCTATAAGTGTTTTTTCCTTGTTTTATGTATCTATTCCTTTCCATTTTTGTTACTCTCATGCATTTAAAATTTTTTTAAAATATATTTTATTGATTATTCTATTACAGTTGTCCCATCCCCCCCTTTTATTCCCCTCCACCCTGCACACCCCCTTCCACCCACACATTCCCTCCCTTTAGTTCATGTCCATGGGTCATACGAATAAGTTCTTTGGCTTCTACATTTCCTATACTATTCTTAACCTTCCCCTATTTTCTACCTACCATTTATGCTACTTATTCTTGGTACATTTCCCCCCCTCCCCCTTCCACTCTCCTGCTGATAACCCTCCACGTGATCTCCGTTTCTGTGATTTTTGTTCCTGTTCTAGTTGTTTGCTTAGTTTGTTTTAGTTTTTGGTCTTGGTGTGGTTGTTACTAACTGTGAGTTTGTTGTCATTTTACTGTTCATAGTTTTTATCTTCTTTTTCTTAGATAAGTCCCTTTAACATTTCATACAATAAGGGCTTGGTGATGATGAACTACTTTAACTCGACCTTATCTGAGAAGCACTTTATCTGCCCTTCCATTCTAAATGAAAACTTTGCTGGATAGAGTAATTTTGGATGTAGGTCCTTGCCTTTCATGACTTGGAATATTTCTTTCCAGTCCCTTCTTGACTGCAAGATGTCTTTTGAGAAATCAGCTGACAGTCTTATGGACACTCCTTTGTAGGTAACTGTCTCCTTTTCTCTTGCTGCTTTTAAGATTCTCTCCTTATCTTTAATCTTGAGTAATGTAATTATGATGTGCCTTGATGTGTGCTTCCTTGGGTCCAACTTCTCTGGGACTCTCTGAGCTTCCTGGACTTCCTAGAAGTCTATTTCCTTTGCCAGATTGGGGAAGTTCTCCTTCATTATTTGTTCAAATAAGTTTTTAATTTCTTGGTCTTCCTCTTCTCCTTCTGGTACCCCTATGATTCAGATGTTGGGACGTTTAAAGATGTCCTGGAGGTTCCTAAGCCTCTCCTCATTTTTTTTGAATTCTTGTTTCTTTATTCTGTTCTGGTTGAATGTTTCTTTCTTCCTTGTGGTCCACACCATTGGCTTGAGTCCTGATTTCCTTCCTGTCATTATTGGTTTCCTGTGCATTTTCCTTTATTTCATTTTTCATAGCCTTCATTTTCTCATCTAATTTGTGACCATATTCAACCAATTCTGTGAGCATCCTGATCACCAGTGTTTTGAACTGTGCATTTGATAGGTTGGCTATCTCTTCGTCGCTTAGTTGTATTTCTCTGGAGCTTTGATATGTTCTTTCATTTGGCCCATTTTTTTTTTTTTGTCTCAGCCCACCTGTTACATATAAGAGGCAGAGCCTTAGGTATTTGCCAGGGTGGTGCAACCCCCTTGGCTGTGTTGTGGTGCTGAATGTGGGGAAGGGGTCCGAGAAGAAACAATGCTGCTTGCTCCACTCTCTGCTGATTTTCAGTCACTTCCCCCACTACCTGCAAGCAAATTGGGCCGTTCTGGTGCTGATTCCAGGGTGGATGGGCCTGTGTATGTTCTAAGACCCTGTGGGTCTCTACAACAAACTCTCCTGTGAGGCTGGGAGTTTCTCCCCCTGCAGCCTCAACCCCCAAAGATGTTTTCAATCAGAGGTTTGAGGCATTATTTCCTTGCACTGTAACTCTGGGTGGTCTGTCTTGCTCCCCAGTTGTTCCTCCTGGTTTATCTGCATGCGAATGTGGGACCTGTCCAGTCCACAATCTGCTGCCTTGTCAGGTCTGCCAGCTGCAGCCTTGCCCACCCCAGTCCTCCAGCTGCTGCCTTGCTGTGAGTTCTACCTGCCTGGCTGCCCATCTCCGCCCATCCTACTAGTCTGGATGAATGTTTCTTCTTTAACTCCTTGGTTGTCCAGCTTCTATACAGTTCGATTTTCTATCAGTTCTGGTTGTTCTTTGTTTTAAAATTTGTTGTTGTCCTTCTTTTGGTTGTGTGAGGAGGCATAGTGTGTCTACCTATGCCTCTATCTTAGCCAGAAGTCTACTGTCACACTTCTTGAAGTCCTTTCCATCTCATATCTAGTTGAGTACCCTGGCTTCTTTTTTGTTTTTATTTATTTTAAAATAGATTTTAGAGAGAGGATGGGAGAGGGGGAGAAAGGGGGAGGGGGAGAGAGAAAGAAACATTAATTTGTTTTTCTACTTATTTACTTATTCATTAGTTGATTCTTGTATGTGCTCTGACCAGGGATCGAACCCGAAACATTGGTGTATCAGGAGGGTACTCTAACCCACTGAGCTACATAGCCATACTTTGGCTTCTAAATGATCACTTTCCTAGATTGAATGCTTTACCCCCATCTACCCCATAATTCATCACTATTATCCACCCCCCATCAGATTAATTTTCACAAAACTATTTTTTATCCATTACTCCTGCTCAAGAACATTCTATGGAGCTTTAGTGCCAAACTGCTTTGCCTGTCATTCAAGGACATTCATACTCATCCCCAATCTACCCTACCAAAAGTCACCCACCTCTCATCAGCATTATTCTTCATCTGGCCTAATCACTATATGCTTGAGGGGACGCTATCTCATAGTGGAAAAAGCATATCTTTAGAGAGTAGAATGAACCTGGGTGAGCATTTAAGTCTTAGATATATCATTTACTAGCTGGTTGGCCTTGGGCAAATCACTAGACATCTCTGAGCTTCAGTTTCCTCTTCTGTACAATAAGGACAGCAATACATACCCTACAGCATAGGGGGATAATATATGAGAAGTTTCTTGTAAAAGGTAGCCATTATTCCATTCTTTGAAATAATGTGTGAATTTCTGCCCTCAAACTTTCTCCCATGCTCCCTCCTTCTTGGTTGAATGCTCCTCTCTCCTACCAAATACTTCATGGTTGCACTCCTCATAGGGTGCTTCACCCTAGGAACAAAACCCTTTTCCTCCTTTGTATTGTACAAAGACAGTATTTCCTAACCTGCTGACCTACAGCCTCCTGGGGTGAGGATTTCTGAATTATTGCAAAGGCCCCCAGAGTCTGTATGTACACAGATTTATTATCAACTGGATAAATAATAGGCTTTACACATGTAGGTATTGCTATATACATAGATGCTGTGATGATCAGAATACCGTACAAACTTGAAAGTACTGCTGAATTCATGGTTTGTCTCCATCGGGATACTACACCCATCATGTGGGAATGGACATCTCTGACCTCCCACTGGAGAAGGATGGGAAACTATTGCCATAGGACTTATTGTTTAAACAATTTTATATTAAAAAAAACTTCTTCTATTTTTATACCTTCTCTCAGCTATTCCATCATAGACTTCTAGAGAGTGTTATGACTAGACTTCACACTTTGAATTCCATCTACACAGTGACTGCACAAAGCAGGTACTTAAAAGGGTTACTTCGTTGATGTTCAGTTTGAAGCTGTTCTGGCCCAAGAGAAGGAAGTTAGAGTAGTTATCCTTGTTGGGCCACTTACACCAAGGATGGGCTGGGACCTGCCCCGACAGAGAGGAACCCTATATTAGGGCAGAAGCAGCGTCATTTTTGTCTGTAGCAGGCTGAGACCCCTAGGCCTAGGAAGTAAACGGGCTCCCAGTGGAAATTTCCCACCTCCTGCCCCACCCTCCACACTCCTGCTAGGCCCCTTATCAAGTTCCCCCTGAGTCATCCCGACCTAGAGACCGATTTAGATGCTGGAACCTCCAGGTCCTTCCCTCCCCCACTCCAAGTAAGACTACTTTAGACACATAAAAGAAGGCAGCAAGCACAAGTTCATATTCAGACTTTCTTTCTCCCCCATTCGTAGGAGGGCTGGTGAGATCCCTATCCTGCCGTATGCATCTTTGCGTATGATCCTAATTCCAGCAGGTTTTCCTTGTCCAGGAGAGCGTTAAACTGACATCCAGAGGGGACAGGGGACTAGGCAGGGAGCCAGAGTGCCCAGCTTCTGTGCCAGTTTCTGGGGATATAGTTCTGAAGCGAGTGGAGGAAGGG